ATTTCAGACACATACACAATGGTCTAACTTTCAGGCTATATAACCAATTTCAATGATTGCATTATGAAAAGTAAAGTACCATTGCCTAAAAGACTGTTTTAGACCATATAACAATTTCTTAAGTTTACATACTTTGTCCTCTTGGCCTTTAATTACATATTCTTCTAGTTGTTTTATGTAAATATTTTTTTTTAATTCTCATTTAAGAAAGCTATTTTGACATCCATCTGAAATAATCTAGATCATAATATGCAACTAATGCAATGATGATCCTAATAGATGACAATTTTGCTATTGGAGAATAAGTTTCTACATAATCTATGCCCTCCCTTTGGGTAATCATTTAGCTACCAACTTAGCTTTATATTTATCAATGGATCCATTTGCATTAAGTTTTTTCTTTAGGACCCATTTGCAACCGATGACTTTTATATCTTTAGGGATGTCAACCAACTCCTAGACTTGATTTCTTTTAATAGAATCAAGTTCATCTTCCATGGCTTGAGTACACTTAGCTGCGTCATGTGAGCTAATAACTTCACTATAGCTACGAGGTTCATCTATTGTGTCATCAATCATTAAAGAGTAATTATCTTCATTTATAAATATATAAAATTCTTCTAAAGTCGTAGGTGAGGCTCTAGTTCTTTTAGGCTTATCTAGTATACTTGATTCAATTGAATCATTCTTACCAAATGTAGAGGGAGTTTGAGAAACAGGGTCTTCCAGACCCTTATCTTTATCAATTTCATGTAAGTCAATAGGCTTATTTAAAATATTTTCATCATCTATATTTTCTAAGAAATGAGCATCACGACTCTCTACTAATAATCTAGTATTATGGTTATAGAATATATACCCTTTAGAATTTTTTGAATAACCTATAAAAGAGCATTTTATAGTTTTACTTTGTAATTTATCTCTGTTTTGTAGTGGTATAAGCACATGTGCCCAAGAACCCCAAACTTTCAAGATAGTAAGGTCAGGTTTTCGACCTGTCCATAATTCATATGTGGTCAATTCTATAAATTTAGTTGGAACACGATTAATGATATATATTGCAGTGTTGAGAGCCTCACCCAAAAAATGAGAAATTTGAATGGCTCATCATGGACCTAACCATGTCCATTAGAGTTCTATATCTCCTTTCAGCTACCCCATTTTGTTGTGGTGTATATGACATAGTTGTTTAGTGAGTTATACCATGATCCTTACAAAATTCAAAAAATAAGGCGGAGCAATATTCACCTCTCCTATCTGTTTGAATAATTTTAATATGCATACTTAACTGATTTTCTACCTCCACTTTATATTCTTTAAATGTTTTTAATGCATCTGATTTCTTACTAATTAGGTATACATATCCATAACGTGAATAATCGTCTATAAATGTTATGAAATATTTTATACCTCTATGTGTTTTCACATTTAATGGGCTACATATATTAGAGTGAACGATACTAAGTAGTTCACTAGACCTTTTACCTTTAGGGAAAGGCTTCTTCGTCAATTTACCAGATATACGTGGCTTGCATGTTGCACAATTTCTTCTAAATTGGGGAGCAAGCCTCTTTTAATCATTTGATTCATTTTGTTTTTATTTATATGCCCTAATCTTAAGTGCTATAAATGTGGATCATCCATACACATAAAAGCATCAAAAGAAACATCAATATAATTAGAAAATGATGACCTTTCATTAATATTCAATCGGTACAAATTGTCAACTTTAGTACCGTACACCAAAGCTCTAGAATGCTTCCCAATGGTAACCCGACCAGGCCTGAACCTTATTTCATAACCCTTGTCGTCTAGCCTTGGGACAGAAATCAAATTGTACCTCATATTGGGCGCATACAATGTATTAATCAATAAGAGATTTGATCATCCTGGTAAACACAGCTTAAAAGTACCAACACCTAGTACATCACAGTGGGTGTTATTTCCCATATAAATCCGCTGGTTACCTTCTGCAATCTCTTTCAATTCTGTGAATCCATCCTTGGTACTCGAGACATGTTGAGTAGAGGCCGAGTCGACCCACAAATTTCTTAAGTCATGATCGACAACTATTGATTTTAGGA